CTAATGATCGAAAGAATCAAAAAGATATTGAGGTACATACAAATTTACAACCACAAATAAGGAAATTGGGTAGACATGAGAAATTGAGTAGCAAAATTGATGAAGATGAAAGCATGGAAAAGCCAAATATATTTAAAGGAGGGGATGCATTGAATGAAGAATCAAGCACTTCAAAATTCGTCGAGGCAAAGCTGGACGTGAAGAAAAAGAAAAGAATCAAAATGAAAAGTTGGTGCTGAATGGGAGAATTGAAGAATCATCATCAATTTTCTAGATCTTCCCTTATGCAACCAACTAGAGAAACCTAGAAGAATCCATACATCACCATTATTCTAGAGTTCATGAGAATTCCTTATAATTAATTTATGGAATTATCTAGAATCATCAACCTTTGTATAGAAGAATTCAATGTCTATATATGTGTGTGTGTGTATGTTCATTACATTAGTAGTGTATTTGAGTGTGTAAGTGAAAGAGTACAAAGAGAGTGAGTGCAAGAAAGAAAGTGTGAGGATTGTGTTTGGTTTGTAAAGAAAATATTTTTGTTAATAAAATCATTTAAGTTTGGCCTTTTAAACTCAAGAAATTACAGTCTCGCTATCTCTGTCTCCTCATTCTTCAATCCCATGCAATGGCATGGAGTGTCCGTCAGCAATAATTTTACAGTTCACAAAGAAATAAATCATCATTGTCGAGATTCTCTACTTCGGACATGGAAAGAAAACCACAATACTTGTGCATCCAATTTAGTGATGTATGCATTGTCTAAATAATAACATACTCCTCTCTTTTTCATTCAACTTCTTCGCTCTGGCTATCAATCACGTTCACAGCATGCTGCTTCTTGCTTTTCATCGAGAACCTTGTTGCAGACATACTCAATAGCTTGTTAATGGGACATTCTTTCACCTAAAATCTTCTTTACTTCATACATATGTTTAATCCTACCATCAAGCTTGTAACCAAGAAATGCAAGAAAAGACAACAACTCTCTGACTTCACGACCTATTTCCTCAATCAAGTAATCCATCTTCTCCTCCAAAGAAACGTGGTTGTGCTGCAGAACCTAAGGGTGCTTCTTGCTCATCTCTAAGATATCCTCGCAATTCAATCCATAGTTCAAGAATACCCCATTATTCTCCTACAAATTCTTGCAGCTGGTACGAGTAACAGCTCCCATTGCCATAGCCAATGCCCTTGTCATATTCTCATATCCATACTTCACTAAGAAAACCAGCTTGCATGCTAGATTCTCCTCAAATGAAAGACTTGAGAACAATGGTGCCTTGGTCAAGAACTTAAATATGTCCTGTGAATTCAACCCACACTGCATAAGAAAATCGATTCTGGGATGCAATTTCCTCTTCCTACTTGCACTAAACACATTTGGTAAACAAGTATTATCCTAAAGATCTCTTGATAGCTTAAACCAGCATTAAAGAACTCGACATGGTATATTAAAGGGTCAACACTATAGGCTAATACAAATTGAAGTTTGTGCAATACGGTTACAGTGGCATTCTAATCTCCCCCACTTAACTCCAAGAAAAACTCAATTCTTAGAGCCAATTGTGCCTCCAGATCATAATTCAAAATTGCAGGCTGGCGAAGAATCAAACTAACACCACCAAAACGGTTTAAAAAATGAAGCATTCGTTCCATTTCTTCAAATGACTTAAGTCACAAGGCCTTAGTTTAATTAACAGTGTTAAGTACATAAACAAGCTTTTGTTGGGAAATCTTGTATTGAACTAGCAACTTCACTTTTCTCTCAAGTCTCACGAGAAATCTGGGGTCAGTTGCACTAAGAAGCCGCTCAAGCTGCACAGGCTCTATTTTCCCATTTAAACCTAAATCATCATCATTAACCAAAAAATATAAAATGCATCAATTTCTTGAGATGTCAATACATCAGGGCGCTTCACAATCGAGAAAGAGAAAAACCACTGACTCCAACAGATTGTAAGGACTGAATTCTCTTACGAATGGATGCAAAGGGCATGAACCTG